ACACACACACACACACACACACACACACACACACACACACAAAACTTGACCGTACCCAGTGTGATAGCTGTCCTTCTGGATACATTTTTCTGATTTCTGCGATGGCAAAGTAGGCTGGCAGGAGGCAGGCATTTCTGTCTAGGATGTACTCCACCACCTAGAATACACACAGAGTAAGAGGTGTAAGTGATGGATTTACTTACAGATAATTATTCAAACAAGTTAAATATAATTCTTTATGACTTTCTAACAAGTTAAAGAAATAATACCTCTCTGGCGGCCAGAAGCTGTTGGACTATTGCTGAGCTGACAGTGGTCGGAATGGTTTGAATTTTATCCAGCACAGCTTTCAACAGGTCTCGAACACCCTGAAACACACACACTTAACATGAAAACATGTCAGGTGACGGAAGATTTAAACTTCAACAACTGGCAGAGACAACAGCAACAAGTCTCTAGAAAATGTTTAATAATGAAACTTTGAGATTAACTTGTTAAAGCACGTCCAAATGTGCCAGAAATGTTCTTATCATTGTTGATGAATTATCTCAGCTGTGTGTGGGAGCGTGTGTGTGTGTGTGCTTGTGTGTATGAGACCTTGTAGTCCATCCCTCCAATGATCTTGCGAATCAGTTTGAAAGTTAACGCCCACAATTGAGTCCTCTCCCACTCCAAACTGTCGGAGCTTATCAGAGCCACACACACCGTCCTTCAGACAGACGAGATTCATTAGATGGACGATTAAGACAAATAACAGAGAAGAGTGCACACAGTGCATTGGTGTTATGTCACAGCTTTAAACAGATTACCTGCAGATACATGTTAATAAGACTTTATGCATCTTAAGTAATACTGTTAATTATGGTATTATCATAAACCTTAAGGATGATTCATGGATTATTTTTACATCTAAAAGACAAGAGCTGACAGTGATATTGCAGGCTAAGCATAAACCAATAAAACAAAATAACTGTGTAAAATTAGATTCTTAAGCCCCAGAGTGTAACATCATGCATGCTGTACACCTTCTTGTGTGTGTGTGTGTGTGTGTGTGTGTGTGTGTGTGTGTGTGTGTGTACCTGGGCGGTAACAGACTCGTCTCCACAGCCATTGCTAGACAGTCATGGAGGAAGGAGATCCTTTTGGGACTGTGCTGGCTGTGTATAAACCGCACTATCCACTGCACACACTGGTCATGAGACTCCTGCAGAAAGACATGGAGGGAATTGATACATCCAGCCAATCATTCGTCATCTTGTGTGCACGCACGCGTCTGTCTCTGTATGTTTAGACACCTGTGGCAGAGTCCCCCAGTACTGCCTGAAGGCTCCCAGACAGCTGATCAGTTTGGTCCTCTCATCTTCTGGAGTGTCCATGAACATCCTAAAACAACACAATAGATATTTTTATAGATGCATTTTTGCTGCTTCAACCTTATAATAACAAAACGACAGGAGGCGTGAGCGTGTTTGGAGTCATCTTACCCAGCGAAGGCCTCTTCGATCATCTCAGTTTTCTGAGGAAAGGAGAAGAAAAAGAAAATTTAGAAAATATTATGTGGGAGGAAAATATGTTTACATTGTTTTGCATCAGCTTTCCACTTCTTTCATAACAGTAATCCCAATAAAAACAAGTTATCTGCTCTTTTGCCTCAGTACCATAGACTGTAGCTCAGTAAACATGGAAGTCATATGTCAGACTTAACTAAGTTTAAAGTGACTAAATGCTATATTAATAATCCTACTTTCTTTATCTAACTTATGAATGAAACTTGCAGTTTAGAAGCAACATTACTGTTAATTTTGCAAATGGTTTAAAAATGAAAACATCTTTTCAAATGAGGTAATGAGTATGAAATAACGTTACATTGTATGTAAAGTATGCACATTAAAGGTGCATTGAATGAACCATCACTTGTAAGGTTATGCCACAATGCAGAAAGTCTAAAAACCTCAATTTGTTTTGAAATACAAACATACACATACATATACATATACATATACATATATATATATATATATATATATATGGATAGCTATAACGTAACGTTAACTATATTTAGGGGCAAATGCTATCTAACCTTAGCTCTGCTGTTCGGGTTATGCATTTGCACAGCAGGTTTATTAGAGAACATAAAATGAAAAAAAGGCTAACGTTGTCTGACATGCTAACGAATGTTAGCTTTAAACCCAGTTAATAATAAAGACACAAATTACCACAACATCCTCAAAGATGCTCTGGAGCTGCGTTTCCATCGATAGCGCCATGTTTGCATCAACAAGAGTCTATTTTTTTTCAGCGAACCATCATACAAATGAAGCAAGTTTCTCCTCTCAGTACGGGCGCTGATAACACTATCAACAAGCTAAATGCTAACAGGCACTGTGAAGAGTGCGCCGCGAGACGCGCAACCTCATAAACAATCCGGAGACACACAAGATACACACGATGCACTGTTCCGCTTCATTTGTTTTTATCATCATCATGCGTAGCCCTAATTCCTGTGTAATTAAAACGTGATCATTATGTCGTACATTCACAATTACTTCTTACATTCGGCATGTCTTTTTAAAATAATAAAGAGTTAAGTCTGGCCTTTTACTCTAATATAGCCCTATGTGGATTTGCAGATACTATAAAAGATATATGTACGCAAAGACTTTCACATTCAGATGATATATATATTAATTCAAAAACAAAAGCTTGTGCCGGACTGGTAGAAAAGCTAAATTTAAATATTGAGGCTTTTTCTAAAAGCTTAAGGCAAGATAAACAGCAAACAAATAATACATGTATACGTATATGATCGAAAATATTTTGCATTCTTATGGATCAAACTACTCAACCCTGTGTAAAGTATCGGCTGTAGCCAATATGAAAAAGACTAGCGAATACTTGGTCTCAACAAGGCCCATTTGATTAACGAGCATTTTTACTTTTGCAGGACTTTTTCATGTTTTTTTTGTTTTTTTTACACAGTATTGCTACTTTTACAAACGTATGCAAGGCTAGGAGTATTCCTTATATTATGACGTAGGTACACACTCACTTGCACAGGTGCAATGTGCACAAACAGGTGAGGTCACATTCCTTCCTCGCACGCGGAAGCACCGCCCGGTGTTCATTACAGTAGCTGTCGTTGAGGGACAAGCATTCCGACTTAATCCGCTCTGAACGTGTTTCGTTTGTTTTAGCTGATTTCTTTTGATCGCGTGAGGAGACATCGGACCACTGACGGGTGTTTTTGTCTGAGGAGGTTTACGGAGCCTCCAGGCCGATGGAGCGGCTGAGCAGCTGCCGGAGGGTCGGAAATGTTGATGTTTCTTGTGAAATTGTGAAAACGCGCTCCTTACAGCTATGTGGACATTAATCTTTCTCTACCTGGGAGCTCTGCACTGTACAGGTATGACTGCATTTAACTAACATTATGAGTACTATTGTTGTTTTTCCGTATCTACTCTTTTACCAATTCTTTAGGTTAGGTCGATTGACTCTAAGTAGCAGCTAAAGTTATATAAAATATAATTAGACTACTTTTTAGGCTTTGAATATGGCATCGAGTGAAATGTGCAGATTCAATAAATAATTGACTGACCTGACACTCACTGTGGAGCAGATATGATTTATTAGGGCTCATTCTTTGTCCAAGTAGATTTATGATGTTTACCCAACAGGCCAATTAACCCAAATACCCAATTAAAAAAGGCAATCTCAGCACAAAGTGTTTCATATTTACAACCTGCATTGGAAACATTACGCAAATATTGTCAAGAAACAAATTCATTTGTGGTGTCTTCTAAGCCCCTGCAGGATTGCCATATGCATGACACGATAATAAAGACTTTATTGATTCATATTAAGTAAACATTAGATCTAGCCATTGTTACTATGCACATAGTTGCCAAGGCATTGATTAACTTACTCTTTTATATTTTATTGTGTTTTATGAGAAGCCAATAGTATCACAGCACGCGATTATTAACAAGTACTTTTGTGATACCGTAAATACAAGAGGAAGTCAGTTCCCCAGTCTGCAGACAAAATAAATAAAATCTGCTAACGTGAAACTGTTAGAAATTCCGATGACAAACATGAGTTTATATTAAATGTGTCATTCTCAACCTCTTTCTCCTCAGTCTCCTCCTCGCTCCCCAGCCCAATCAATGTGAAATTCTCCTCGGTCAATCTGAGGAATGTGCTGCAATGGTTCCCAGGAAGTGGCACACCGGATGACACACACTTTAGAGTGGAGTATGCCATGTAAGTAAAGATTTAAGAGTTTAAATAAAAAATAAATAAAAAAATACGAATAAAATTAGTTTATTTAACTGAAGTGACCCTCAGAACAAATGTATTGTCTTCAAGTTGCATATACTTTAAGTTCTTTCCTTTTTGGTGCATTACTGTAACTACGTTGAACTTTACCTGGTTAAAAATTAAACTAATGTTTTCATATAGGCCGTTCTTCAGCAAGTCTCAAAGGAAGTTACAGACAAAAAGAAGCAAAGAAAAGAGACGAAGACAAAAAAAACAAAAGAAAAAAGTAACTAGATCTAACGATTAACTCGTGTAAGCTGAAGCTCCTTGCTTGAGGGGGAAATGCACAAGGAACTACATGTGTTTTGAGCTCACTCCCTCCATTATATCCTCCCAGCTTGTGCAGGGACTCAGTCATCGTCTGATCAATGTGGGTCTGCTCTGTCTTTCCCAGCTACGGGGACAGTGTTGAGGGCAGCAAAGGAAGAAAGGTGAACTGGAGGGAGGTGTGGCGGTGTAAAAAAATAGTGCGGAGCTGGTGTGATCTGAGCAATGAGACGTGGGATCTGGAGCAGGGATACCATTCCAGGGTTCGTGCTGTGACCCGGGGAGCATTCTCCACGTGGGCCTGGCCACGGAAGAGATTCGATCCAAAGACGGACAGTAAGTTAAAGTGACATTCTGTCTGAAAATGACACACAGGGGAAGGCTAGTTAACATTTCGACTTGAAATATGTTATACCTACCCCAAACTAAACATTTTGCTCTATCTGTATAGCTAGTTTTGGCCCTCCACTGGTTTCTGTAGAAATAGAGGACAGCAACGCCATCATCACTCTGAAGGGACCAATGAGATATCAGTTTAACAACCACACCCCAGTGATGTCCATGGCAACACTATACCCGCAGATGACTTACAACCTCTCCATTGAAAACAACCATCGTGGCACAACAGTGAGTAAAAATATATAAAACTTGTCCCACCCTCCTTGTCCCACCCTCCTGGCACAGACAGGTAAATCAAGCATCTTTGTGCATGTATGTTCGTAGCTCCATGTCCCAGTGGTCTCCAGTTCGTACAAATATCCACTGATGGACTACAATACAGAGTACTGCTTCTCTGCCACGACAAGATTCCTGTTCATGCCGGCCCAAAGCCAGTCTTCAGCATGGCACTGCATAACCACGCCTCAAGGTACAGCCATTAGGTGTGTCTGTGTGAGAGGTAGAATGTTTTGCTCCCTGTTTGACAGGTAGAAAGGAATGTGACTAAACATGGGGCAGAAACCAAAGATAAGATTACGTTTGTGCCTGCAGCCTTTTGTTGTTGGTGAATCAGTTTGTATATTTCCAAAATGAAAAGAAAAAAAAGAGTGAGATTTGAGCTTTTATACAATGAGTTCTGATACGGCATGGTGTTTACATATTATTTCCTATATGTACCTTTACACACATCTGTTTGTATTTGTGTGACATGTTCCTGATTCCCCATCTCCCTTCAGACCCTGTGATTGGCCAGCTGCAGAGCGTGGTTGTGGGTATTGTAGTTCCATCTGTGTGCTTGTGTATGGTGGTGGTGGTTGGCTACCATCTCTATTGCTACCTGACGGGGAAAGGACAGAAGAGCCCATATATACTGGTAATGCATACACACACTTTTACACACACTAATAAAGTGCTCTCAAAGTCCAATTGTACAGAAGTCTATGAGAAAATGACCCCACTTCTCCCTTGAGTTTATGTTCTCATTCGCTAGTTTCCAGCCTGATGACAGCATGATGTTGACTTTGTGAATTATGGTCACATTTAGAGTAAAATAGACGATAAAGCTGGGTATGCCTTAGAACGTTGCTACCTTTTGATTGACAGGTTGCTATATTCTAAGCACTCCCTCCTTTTAGCGGCTCAATCAAATGCAAAGGATTTCTTTTGAATCCCTCTTGTAACTGTACACCACTCAGATATTCAGTTTCAGTACTCGCAGTGCAAAAGCTAAAGAAGCTCTGATTTCCGTTTTACTGGGACTTTAATGTAATGAAAACTTGTGTTAAAGGGTTAAAAGGGCACTCCACCAATTTTACACGGGAAGACCAGTTTACTTGTCATGACAAAAGGTGTGTTATAGGCAAAGTGGGATGCAGTGATTTGTGAGTTTGACCCATGCTCGGGACTAAAAAGTCAAGATATCTCTGCCTCTGCTGATAGTTTTTAGCCGTTAAGCACTGACTTCATTTTTGTGTCGAATTGGTATGTGATAATTCCATAATACAGTTTTGACTATTGTGTGTAAAGTTCAGTTGAAAGTTGTTTCTAAAGCTAAAAGGTCATTCTTTTAATGCCAAACACCTTCTCTTTCAACCTCCAGGACCCGCCTGCTTTTCATCCGCCCATTCTGACGTTCCCCCCGGAACGTCCCAACCTCATCGTCATCACCATCATCAAAGAGATACAACGAGAAAGCGACATTTCAGACCCAGCTTGCCCAAAGTTCCCGCGACATGTCGCACATTGCACAACAGGCTACACTTCCCAGAGGCACCAAATACTGCCGGAGCCCGATGAACCCTGGGATGATTCGTCAGTCGACTATGGGTTTATTGGCGTTGCTCCTAAAATCGCTACCAGAGGAGAAGATGGGAATAATCTGAAAGGTGACGACCAGAAATGCGCAGCCAGAGTCAGTTACGAGAAACGGGAGTGGAGGGTTGAGGACGGCCACTCTGCTGGACACACACGGACAGAGACGAGCACACTTACACAAGCGCATGCAGGGCTGCTGACGCAAACTCAGGCACCATTACTGTCTATGCAGGGAGCAACTATGCGAGAGGTGGATGGAGAGGAGGAGGATAGAGAGTTTCCTGGTTTATTTATAAGCACAACTGGCCTCTTCCGAATTCCGTTAAATCTACCAACAAAGGGGGGAGGAATGAGGAAAGAGATGGATGGAGAGGTGAGAGTAAGAAGAGATGGAGATGATGAGGCGGTACCCCTTCTTTCTGCTTATGCCTCTCAGAACACCACAGACATGCATACCTCCCACTCTGACCAGTCCGATTTCTTACCAGATGACTATGGTGTTCTGAGACTGGCTTCTGCACACAAAATAGACGTTGATGATGATGGTGATGACGATAAGGGGGAGGCAAATATTTCTATTGATTGGAATCCCGAGACCGGGAGCCTAGTGTTGCCGCAGATGGATGGGATGATGCAGCGAGAGAAAGGGGAAGGGGAAGAGGAGGAGGTTGATTTGAGGTTGGAAAATGTGTTTGTAAGACAAGGGTCTGAGGAAAATGCAGAGGCACAGAGGGAGATGGAGGGAGGTGATGACTTTTCGACCAGATGGAACTTGGTAATCTCGATGGACGAGTAGATGATATTCATCAATAGATTTACCCTATTACTGCAAAAAAAGCTCTTCTTCTGCACTTATAAATACACTTAAATTGTTTGGTTTCATTTAGAATACATGTAAAATTATCAGGAGCACTTAGTACTGTAGTCAGGTTACTTTAACACCTGTGAATGTTTAAGCTTTATTATCATAACTTTATCGGATTAACAAATCACACTAATCAATGTCACACTGTGAACAACTCTGAAGGAAATGATCTGTGTTCACCTACACGTTAAGCAAAACGTAGCTCACTAATCAATTAATTTCTTAGGGGTAACCGTCATCCAAAGTATTCTTCTTGATGTGTTTTTTGTAGACAGATTGCAAAATCTTTGTGAGTTCAAGTGATTTAGTGGTAGTACGAAAGATGCGACAAAGAAATATTACTCTGGCGTTTACTTGTAACCACAGTTTACTACAGATACTCCGTGAAGTTGTCGGTAGTTTCAGGTTTCAGGTCCGTTCCAGTTTTAGTCTGAGGATCATAATGTAATTATTTCCTCATTGTGTCCGCCTGTGATTACAGCATTCCTTTTAATACAAATCCATCACTGCTGACTATGTCATATGAAGGAAATACTGATGTTCAGATGGAAGATACTGTACATCTATCATTGTGATTAATGTGTTCATATGTGAAGTCAAAACTACAGCACTTAACTCTTTATTCTTTTAATACTCAGAGTAGAGATTTTATAAATAATGAAGCTGACTGACTACAGTATGTGTTAATGTTATTTGTGCCTTTGAACACAAAAAAATGGCAACATTCATTTTCTATCAACATTTTTTTTTTCAACCAAACACTGTCTGCAGTTCAACATTACCGAGGTGTTCAGAAGCTTGGCAGTTTTTTTTTTTTACGCTGTAACATCTACAAGTTATGCAACTGGTTCGTCTGCTTTTCATTAACACAAGCGTACAATATAGATGATTAAAGCACAGTTCACTTGCACTTTGTTTGTTATTCAAAAGAAAGCTGCATGAATGATGTTTCATTATGTAATAATGGAAGAAAGCATTACACTCTTTTGTCGGTGTTGTTCCTCTTTCTAATTCCTTTTGATTGCCATGCAGCCCACATTAAGTTATACCTCAACGTTATATGAAGGACATTTTCACTTTGACTGTCTTAACTCAGCAGTTACCAACATTGTGCTTTCTCACTGTCTCTTTTGGGGAAATATTTGGCAATGAAACTCTGTAAAATCTCTTCCTGTTCACTGGTAATCTGCATGAATCGAAAACTACGGTATGAGGAAATTATAAAACTCTACAGGTACTTTTAGGTTCTTGTATTTACACAACTGTTATCTGCAAAGCAGTGATGAGTTTGATGCTGTGCATGAAGTCGTATCTTGATTAAATGTTTTTACTCTGGGGAAGAAGTCAGTAATATGTTTTTCAAAGTTTTGTATGTTTAAAGACTACAACATTATTGTATACTCAATGAAATGATAATAAATTGAACTTGTTCACTATTCTGTTCTGCTTTGTTAGAGGTTTGTACTCTTACCAGCTTTTATATATTCTCAGGACGAATCTACTGTTTCAAAATATTCAGACAACAGAAGCATGGTTCAACTTCAACTTTCATTCCTGTCACCTTCCTCCACAAGATGCAACAAGAGAGTGAGTAGAGACATCTGCTGGTCAAATTGTAAACGCCAATCACGAAAATTGGCCCCTGAGAGAGTTATGATTATGTCACATTAAGGGATTAATAAGCATAAATGATTAACATCTTACTGTTTTGCTTCATGCATCATATACTATTTTTAAGTCTTGTTTTGTGTGGAAAATCTTAATCTTAAAATAAACTGGTAGCTGTTAAATGCAATTGTAAAAAATCTTTTTTTTGAATTACAAGTAAAAAGTTACACAAAATGGAAATAGGCCTCATCTTAAGCTCTTTTTTTTAAATATGGGCTTCTCAGTTATTTTAAAAGTAACAGCAGCAGTATAGAAATACTCAGTTACAAGTAAGAGCCATGCATTCAAAAGTACAAATGCATTAAAAGAAAAATATACTTTAAGTAACAAAAGTAAAGTAGGCCTACTCATTTGTAGCATTGCCCATTTCAGAATCCTATTTTATGTATTATATTTAGTGTTGCATGTGTACAGCACTTTAATGCTGCAGCTATAATAGCTACTTTACTGCTTAAACTATTTTATAAATTGGTTTGTATGTCGTATGTCGTAAAGATTATCAAGCAGAAATGCTTAATTGATTGCTTAATTACATTCCACCTTTCCTATTTTGGGATCAAACTTATAGTTTTTAGAAAAGGTCGACAGAAAACTAAAGTGTATAATAAATAAGCACTGTGTTGTTAATTTAGAGAGAGAGAGAAATATTAAAATGTATGTATGTAGTTGCGACTGTGGATAAGTGGATAGCAGGGCCATCTTTCGGCGGTTCAATCCCCGGCTCCGGCTCTGCTAGTCGCATTAGTTAAAACACTTAACCCCAAAATTGCTCCCGTAGTTGTGCCTACGGTGTAGAAATGTGATCGACTCTGAATTGTAAGTCGCTTTGGATAAAAGCGTCTGCTAAATGACTGTAATGTAATGTAATGTATGTAACGTTCAAGTGCCTTTAGGTGGCGCGCTCTCGTTACGCGGCAGCTGCTCCATCTCTCCTCCGTCTCTTCTCCATCCATCATGGCTTCAGCTCCCACAGTCCGCGCATCACTAGGGCGGGACCTCGGTGAGATCGGTACTGCCAGTCGTTGGGCACTTCCGCCGGGCTCGGGTTTCCTTCCACTCGGCATTTAAATTGGGCTGCAGGACATCAGCTGCTGCTACATTCAGCGCCGCGCGGTGACAGAAAATAACCAATACGCGTATTTTGGGTTTTTCTTTATACACAACAGTTGATCCCGAAGAGATTTTGGTGTGGTTGTGGTTGTTTTTGTGGGCAGAAGAGCTGGAGCCGTTGAACAATAACGGCGGTTGCTCTGACAGCAGCTCGGTGCATCATTTTTGGGATTCCTCTGCTCGCTGTTGGACGAAATTGAATAGCGGTAACGTGATGTTGTGCATGAGCGGAATGATTTAGGCTTGTACAGGGCAGCGTGTTTGTTTAGTGAAATAGATTGGGCACGAAAACAAACCCATTGAATGCGATTATTTTGTTTTGTTTGGCCCAGGAGCACAAGTGGCCTGGACTCGGGAGGACCGATGGACTCGATGATGAGAGCGCATTTGAAGGGTCAGCTTTAAATTCCGATAAGAAAATTAAACAATTTAGATTTATTTATTTTATTTTTTAGTTGTAGATATTAACGGAGACAAAATATACTCAAAATAACCTTAAACTTGGCTTAATATAACACCAGACCAAGCCTTAATACTATCGATAACAACAACAGTCGCCACCCATTCTAGTGAAGCACGACAGACTGACAGACTTCAATTATTATATATTTTTCTCACGTGAGATATAACTTTGACTATTTTAAGCATATATATGTCACTATCTTTTCTTGTTTGGAGATAAAGGTGGATCTTAAGGTCTTTGTTTTTTTTATTAGGTTAGATCTTAGCTTCTTCTTCTTCTCCTCTTATAAGTGAGGACAAGTATCTGATCCCTCAAGGACATTATACATTTGCAGACCTTTCAGGATAGTGCAGTAACCTGGACACTAGTGACAAACAGCATATCTGACAAGTTACACCTATCAGAGGCTTTACTAGCCTCAAGCAATAAGCAAACATGTTCAGCTGGCTTGGGACCGACGACAGGAGGAAGAAGGATCCAGAAGTCTTCCAGACCGTCAGTGAGGGACTTAAGAAGCTCTACAAAACCAAACTCCTGCCGCTGGAGGATAGCTACAAGTTCCACGAGTTCCACTCTCCGGCTCTGGAGGATGCAGACTTCGACAACAAGCCCATGGTCTTACTGGTGGGACAGTACTCCACCGGCAAGACAAGCTTCATACGGTGAGGAGAAGCAGTGAAAACACACACACACACACACACACACACACACACACACACACACACGCGCACGCCACCAGACAGATAGAGAGGGAGAGGTCGACACACCCAAACTGACTTTTCCCTGAAGAAGTTTGTCAAGAGAGAGGAAGATGAGTTCATGCGATAGAAAAAAACAAAACATGAAGAGCAATATGAAACATCAGTCATCACACACACACAAACACTCACAGGAGTCACACCTCTGCAAGCTTTATTTAATCCATTAAACATTTATATGACAGCCAATATAACACACACAGGCATGCCAACGTAATACATATACGGAGGCAGTAATGCATAGTATTGCAGCCCAGCCTGAGGAGGTGTGTGTGTATATATCTATGTTTTATATGTGTGTGTGTGTACGATTAGACTGACAGATGGACATCTTTCACCTTAGGGTTTTGCTCTTGGGACCTACTTAATAAAACACCAGGTGGAGATTAGAATTAGCCCCGCAAACTTAGCAAAGCTTGTTGTTTTTAGCCAAGAATTAAGCAAAAGCAGCGTTTGCTTGCTTAGAACTGACTGAAGCACTCTTTATTACCATGACAGGCATCACGTCAGACCTGCCACACGTTCCTCGGTGATAGTTTTCAGTCATTTTGGACAAGAGTGCCAAATACATGCCTATCTTAACTTAAATTCAGATTTAGTTTAAACTTCTTTGGTATTAAAATAATGCTCCATAGTCAGAGTGGTGTGACCTGGAGTATCTCCGGTATTGGTGTGACAGCTGGGTGTTGGGCCTCTTTGAACTGCAGGAATTCTACTAACGACTCGCCCCTCTGACACACATACACACACACACACACACACGTACACACATGCACTTGCAGAGCATAGTGGGTAATTAGTGGGGTAAGCCTTTTAAAGCCAGAGAGAGGATGCTGTTAGTGAGACTGCTATAAGACAGGACAGAGCAGACATCCCTGCAGTGCTCGCTCTCCTTCCTCTCACTGACACTCTCCTCCTCTCTTCTTGTTACTCTCTCCCCGATGACAACACCCACATGTCCCTCCCGCTCCGCGGACATTGTAACATTAAGATGCAGAATGCACAAACTGCTGAGTAACCCTCGGTTCAGCATCGCTTTTATTGCATACAGCAGCGACTCTGGAGGTGGGAGCAGTGCAGCTCTTTGAAACGTTGCAAGGAGAAGTTACAATAATGATGTTTAGTTACATCACATTTGGCTTTATGGGAATTTAAAAAGTCATAAAATGTGCATGAATGTCTGTCTGGCAGCTAAAAGGAGAAGAAGATGTATGGAGGGTAGTGTAATCTCTCTTCTTTGGAGGTTATTTACAGGTCATTAATCTGAGCCTGTCTTTCTTTTAAGGCTGAATTTTATTTACTTTCCACTTTTTGTCTCCTGAGTCTTTAAAAAGCAAATTATCCCCAGAATCAAAGTTTTCCTTTTAAGGTGGTTCAAGAAACGGTATCTTTGACAGTTAGTGAAGCCTGTGCCTGTGCATTTTCAGTCTTATCTCACTGACAGCGTACTGTGCGGAATGTGTGAGATTAAATGGTATAATGTGTGAGCTGAGAAGTGAATTCCCCCCACATACATACAGTACCGTTCGTCATATTGAACATACAATCTGCTAGATGCATATCCATTGCACAACCTCCACACAGACCACCAGACGCACTGCACAAACACGTGTGCAGAGCGATGGCTCTACCAGGCACGGCTGACTCCGCTGTCAAGGTGTGTGTGTGTGTGTGTGTGTGGAGAAGACGTATATGTAAACCATCCTTACATCTGGCAGCAGTTAAAATGCATACTCAGCCCACACTCACACTTTAAATGTATGGTCCTTTTTAGCCGTGAACCTTTTGCCTAAATCTCTTCTTTATGGCCTGCGTTCACACAGAAACTCATAATCTTAATTTGCAACATGTGTGATGTCACCGAATTAACAGATGGGGACGCAGCCCTTCACACCTAAATCAGCATCAGCTGTAAGTTTAACATAATAACCCATTTGCAGCAAAAACACGTTCACAAATTTGAGTTGTTCGGGGAATTTCTTTACAGGCCTCCTGAAAAATGTGCCAGGTCAAAACCTCAACTTTAATTTATGGTTGTCTGTCTCTTCACCTTTTTCACCTTCAGCTGTTTTTCAGCAAGCAAAACAACCGGTCTAGCAGGCTGTTATGTTCATTGTTTTCAGCACCGGTAGAGCTTAGTTCAGTCTACATATCTTTATTTTAGCCTTATTAAGGCATGTGTTTAAGGTAATTGTCCTTTAAGAACACTTAAGTGAGTCCAAGATTGACAGCTGTGCTTTCCTCTTTATTATTATGTTCACTTTTATCAGATTGCAGCATGTCAGTCCCGCAATGTGATGCGGTCATCGCCACTACTGACAGTAGTCACCATGCATGCTCTTGTGGTTAACTACCTCACTATCGACTCAATGCGGCTGAGTTTGTGCCTGTGAAGCAAACAAGGATGTAAAATTCCCCTAATCTTTGTTCCAGCAGCTTATAATTCAAGGCAGATCTGTTTTTGGGTGATTTTTGAATTTCGTCTTACCATCCAGACACTGCAGCTCTAATCGAATTAGAGCTGCAGATGTAGCACACATCTGTCCTGCTGCTGCCTATAGTTGACTGTAGGTATTCAGTCAACTCTGAATGATATCTGATACTACAAGCAGTTGTGGAAGTGGAGAAATACTCCTTGTTGACTCAGTAACCCATGGTTGGAGAACATATATGCATTCTCTGTCAGAAATGATTAATTTATTTAGAGTAACATCATTTTCTTCTGAGACAATTACTTTAAAATTGAATGCTAATGTCTTAAAACGTCATTAATGTCTTGTAATGTGACTCTACGGTACCTCGCTGCACAATGCCCTCTACACTATTGTTCATTGTCTCAGAGAGCATCTTCTGGAAGGATTCTTTATCAAAAACATCTTGTCTCTTGCCTTGTTTTGTGTAATGTTACGTCTCACCTACAGCTACCTGTTGGAGCAGGATTTTCCCGGTATGCGGATCGGCCCCGAACCCACCACAGATTCCTTCATCGCGGTGATGCACGGCGACACAGAGGGAATCATCCCCGGCAACGCTTTGGTGGTTGACCCCAAGAAGCCCTTCAGAAAGCTGAACGCATTTGGAAACGCATTCCTCAACAGGTAAACACACTTGCACACTTTCCCAAAGTGCTAGATGACATGCGCCGACGGCAGATGCTGTTAAGAGATCTGTGGCTGTGAGGACGTACGGGGGGGGAAAGAGAGGAGAAGAAAGGGAGAGTGAGAGTACTAGTGAAAAGCCACACCACAGCTCTACATTCCTGCGTGATTGAATTTCCCTCTGCTCACTGGTCAGGCTTTTCTTTTTTTAATGGCTGTCTTTGTGTGTGTGTGTGTGTTTGAGAGAGAGAGGCACACACACACAGTCAGTCACCTGTTCAGAATCATCCTTCTGGTAAAGGAAAAGTGCCCAAAAATATTTACTCTTACGGTAGTGTCCTCGCTGTGAGGGCCCCACCACTGCTGAAACTAGACAGAAGAAACGCTGACTGTCAGTGGGGATTAGTGGGGTTCACAGTGAGAACGACCGCTAACCTGGTAGTATTTATCCAGCTGGAGGCAGAGCGATAGAGGAGAAGGAGGTGAGAGGGAGGAAGAGATCTGGTGTGGGACGGTGTTTGTTGTTAAAACGTTTTTACACTTCTGTCCGGTTTCTTTTAACTCTCCTCTCCTCTCCTCTCCTCTCCTCCATGTGTGTGTGTGTGTGTGTTTTAGGTTTGTGTGTGCCCAGCTGCCTAACCCAGTGCTGGAAAGCATCAGTGTGATTGACACACCAGGGATTCTGTCAGGAGAGAAACAGAGAATCAGTCGAGGTAAGACTCTTTTTCTCTCTTTTTTTAAAATCTTCCTCTGTTTATGTTAATGAGTGTGAAACTGTGTCAGCGTTCGTTCACTGGACCCATTCAGCTGCAGCCCCCTATAGTCCCACTGAACTCTGAACTACGATGTCAGCATTTCCTTTGGATGTGTGTGTTTATTTTAGCTTTTAGCTATCAGGAGGATTATGCGTCATTCATTTCAAAGAACAGGAAGCGGCGACGAAAAGATGAGCTTTGAAATGTTCTCTCTCTCCTCTCTCTCTCTCGCACGCACACTGTTTAACATTTTGAACACTATAAAGTTCAGAACATCATTCTAGGGACTGTTAGATTTCCCTTTGTTTACATTTCATTGCTTAGTGAGTTTTACTGGGATGAGTCTACAACATACTTTCATTGAGAAAAAGAATACGTGAAATGCTTGGACATGTTATTTGTAGCAGGCCACTCTATATACGTATCATTTGCACATTTTGGAAAACCCCCAGAATCACTAGAGACATGATACATTTATCACGTTAACTACAATTACTCAGGTTTTTGTGAAAAAAAAAAACTGAGGTAACAAGACACTCTGAATTTTTATTATGCTCAAATTGCAAAGACAAACAGACGCTATATTTATTTTATGAAATGACGGCATAAAAGATACCAGAGGAATGTCTCTGACTGTGATGCAGGTGTGCAGTTATTGCACTAAGAGAGGGAAATAAGGATGTTTTCTGTGACTTGTAACAAATGTTCCAAACTAGCATCTTCATATAAATATGAAGATGGAAAAATATAAGAAGCTGCACCTTAAGGGCCAATTGAAATGAATGTAAAAGAATGGCCATCTAATTTGATGACATTGTTTCTTGATGCATCCCATCTTTTTACACAAAAACCCAATTATCTCAATTTGATTATTCGCTGGTACTTATCTCTTGACACCCAGGTCAGCTCATGGGAGTTTTCTAAAACTGAACATTTTTCACTAAAACACAGAAAAAGATGAAATAATCAAATGGAAGCTCTGTGATTCTTAATTATACGTGAGTGAACCAGCAGTGGACAGATCCCAGCCGTGGTGTTGAACTGAACGCAGAGACTACAGTTTGAAGAGAACTTTAGGTGTGAAAGGCTTACAAGAATTCCTCGGGGCTTTCTTACAGTTTGATGTGTGTCCGGCATGACTGGCATTCCCGGAGCTAAATGCTGGTGTTGCCATACCAACCGCTAACATACAACAAAAGAGCTGGGATAATAAAAGACAGCTATAATTTAGACTTTTCCCTACATTCAGCCACTCTTTCTTACACTGTCCATCTTTGAATTCTCCCTCTGCTCCTCTGTCCATTCTCCTTGTTTGTACTCTCGTGTTCATTTAGCTCTGTTTGAAGGTTTCTTGTACCAAGTAGGGCCCATATACATATATGTGTCTCTTCTACCAACTCTATTGGCTGTCACCACAGTGCATTAATCATTGAGTGCCGACAGTATCACAAAGAAGGAAGGTTTTGTATGTTGTAGGCACGCACTGGTACCGATATCGGGCCGATACTGACTCAAATAGCTGGATTGAGTATCGGTCACAGTGGGGCCCATATATTCGCTGCACCCAGCGTCTACAGCCTATTAATTTAACACTGGTATTGGATCGTTACTCGGTATCGACAGATACCCAAAGCCCAGGTTTCGGTATCAGGACTGAGAGAGTCGGATCGTTGCATCGCTAGTATGTTAACCGATTTAACAACACAAACTAAACATAGGGGTGCTGGCATTCATGATCGATTCTAAATCCAAACACTCTTGGACGCTTTTATCAATACACAACACTGTGACAGCATCAATAGAGTTGTACTTGGTCGTAACGGGTCTTGACTGCATGTTGAGCGGATTCTGTTTCAACGGGATTTACCTGCACTCGAAACAGTTCAGGGGTAAAGGCCATGAAGAGCATCAATATCACCATTTTGTTATTATAAGTCAATGATTTTTCATGCTTTGATTATGAGGGTTTTTTTCATGCAAAAAAACCCTCATAATAAAAGCATCATGCATGATGAAATGTACAAATATACTTACGAAGTTACAATGTCTAACTAGGAACATATTGTGGTCACCGAGTTCAGCGCATGACTTCATAGCAGGGTTGGGTCTGGATTAATGTTTGTCATGAGAACGTTTCTGTCTGCAGCTTTTCTGTGGAGAATCAACAGTTCACATCTGTCAGCACAATTGGAAGAAGTTTAATTGAATCAGATCCACATCAGCTCTGTTTTACTTTCTATTCGTTCGGTCAAAGTGTCCCGTGAACGTCTTGTCAAACCAAATAAACAGCGCAGTGAGGTGTGACCCTGCGGTTGTCTGTTGGATATAAAAACAAAACACAGGTTAAACGTGACATCTACTGAGTCAGCACAGCTGTGTTTTCTGTGGTGACAGAGTGTGTGTGTAAGTGTACGGTGAAGGCTTTTGTTTGTGTGTCTTCATTTTCTTGTCATCCCATCCTTTTGTCTTTTGCACGTCATGTTTTCATGCTTCATCTGTATGTTGTTGTGTGTCTCTTCATGCTATCATATGTTTTCTTCCACCCAGCTGCATTGTTTTCATCAATGTCTGTATTTATTTTTGTGTGTGTGTCCAGATGTGGAGTCGGGCTATAGCTGCCTACATAGATGTCTTTATGGAGGTATTGTAGATAATAAACCTGAGCATCAACCAGCTACAAAAAGGCTAATTAAAGTGATACTTTGAAGAATGTATGGACTGCTACACGTTCTTCATCAGACTCTTGTCACATGGTTTGGGGGAAACAAAGTTGACCTTGTTGGTTAACCAGTTGGTTAACCGGATTTGTCATATGTGTCTGTTTCCTTTAGGTTTTTACTGAGAAGGATATTTCAATAATTACTTTCCAGATGCTGTGAGGTTTATATTCATGATCTGGAGAGGATGAAGCATAGTTATTTTTGGTTTTTTAAATATATAAAATGATTGTGGGTATTCATGAGCCCCCCAAAAATACACTTGATTGTTTATTTGATCCCTTGAACTTAACTATACCACCATGCATGAGACGATATGATAACTCATGTCACGATTTTACTGACTCAAATAATTACGATTCACGAAATTATCCTTTTTTGAAGTCATCAAAATATACTTAAAACATACTGTAATCACTGTACCTTACATTTTGTTAATAAATAAATAAATTGTTTTTTATTGAACAATCTTTTTATGAAAAACCAAATATTTAAGAAATCATAAAGTTTATCTGCATAAATAAAATAGACACGCAACATTATGTGAGTCTGTTCTTTCTCACTTGACAATTCCTGTATTTTTTTAAATCGGGCTCTATTTTTCACTTCTCTACCATGATGGCGTCTTAGGCAGCTTTTTGAAGTCACACGTGACGATATTGACAGTTATCCTGATAATGGAAATTAACCACAATCAACTTATCGAATGTGGAGCTTCAGACTTCAGTCTTGTTTTTCCCCACATCATGTGAAAAGTGCTTCCTGTGAAGAATGATCCACTAAAATTCAAAATATCATACATCTCTCTCTCGTTCTCTCTTAACCCTCCACAGCTTTGCTCAAGTGTGTCCTCCGTCTCCTCTCAGCTGTGCTCATTTAGGACAGGAAGACACGGCTAAAACCAATTTCCATGTTTTACATACTTATTGCTATAGCTGCCAAACTTTTGCTCACACCCCAGCGAGTAATTATTGAACACTCAACAACACCGGTTTTTAATAATTGCTGGTAAAGTAGCCTTTGAGGCATCGTGTTAGCATCAACACTAATAAATATAACTACATAATACACATAGCCATTGTGGAACTCATATACCTTGAGTATTACTATTCCTCTTCTGGGAGGAGCAGCAGTTCAGCCACACACAATCTTTATCGCAGCTATGTCTGTCCTCAAACTGTACTCACTGTATTAACATAAAGCTTCTTACTATCAATTGAGAGCAAATGCCTCCTATAGTTTCTCTCCCATAATCTCAGCGGTAACAGGTTTCACCATTGAATCTGCATCTCTTATGCGTATTTCAGTGTTTGGAAACTTTAGCTCACTAATCCTTCGTTCTGTTCTTTGTTCTCCTCTCATATCCTGTGGAATTCCTCCACTTAAGCGTCGGTCTTGTCCTCGAGTAGGATAGAAAGTCAAAGGAGGCAATGATGTATTCCTGCTGACAGACTTAATCATTGAATTCATTTATTCATGCAGTATGGAGGCATTAACCCATTCATGCACTCATTCGAGCGTTCATTACCGCCTTGATTGCATTTCCCACAAAAACATCTGAGCCAAGTAAGACAATAAAATATTGTTTTTGGTTTCCACCTCATTATTTAGTTTTCAAAACTTCACTTAGTTGAGCCCTGGCAGAACCGCCTCCATCTGTAAACAGACATTCTTTTCTCTCAGCAAGATGTAATTTGTCCTTCGTATTGCCTCTATGCCCTGAAGCCATTCTAATAGTTTCTTCTTGGGAAAATTGCAACATCACAGCTGTTGTTCATGGCTCAGCTCATGGATTATACATAATGTTCTTATTATGTGAACATCTTCACAAAAAACTTAGTGGCCTGACCTGTTCCTCAAAAGTAGCATTAAGTGAAATGCCTCTCTTAAATGCTATTTTGACACCAGTATGGGATGGGATCAAAGAAACAGGAAGTCAAAGGGATACACAATGAATTATCTCTTTCTCTCACTCTTTTAACTAAACCTTCCCGTCCCTCCTAATTGAAAACCTAATGTCTTTCTTGGATCCTCCTCCTCTCAGGCTATGACTTTGCAGCTGTCTTGGAGTGGTTTGCAGAGCGAGTGGACAGGATCATATTACTGTTTGACGCCCACAAACTGGACATCTCTGATGAATTCTCAGATGTGATAAAAGCCCTGAAGAACCACGAAGACAAGATCCGGTACTGCAGTGTTTGCTTTGACTTACAGACATATCCAGTTCTACACAACAGAGAGGAGAATCCTCGTTCTCTTTCTAGATTCATATCAACACTATGTTGTCAGCAGTTCTTTGCTTTCAGTCAACATCAACACTGTTCTCTCTTGTTGCTTTTGGTAGGGTTGTGCTGAACAAGGCTGATCAGATAGAGACCCAGCAGTTGATGAGAGTGTACGGTGCCCTGATGTGGTCACTGGGGAAAATAGTCAACACCCCTGAGGTATAGTAAGCAGGAGGAGTTTGGGTTTAAAGTTTCAACACTCACTGGTCGTCCTGATGCTTGTTGTGGATATAATGCACCTCTTTTTATACCTCGACTTCATCTGCATAAAACACCACATTTTGAAATGATTGATCAGTGCCTTTAAGAGTCAACAATGAGATGCTATTAGCTGAATTGTGCCTTTTTATGTCTTTTGTCTTGTTGATTTTCTGTCCGTCTCCCTCGCTGACAGGTGATCCGCGTCTACATCGGCTCGTTTTGGTCCCACCCTCTGCTGATTCCAGACAACAGGAAGCTGTTCGAAGCAGAGGAGCAGGATTTATTTAAGGACATTCAGTCTCTACCGAGAAACGCAGCGCTCAGAAAACTCAACGATCTGATCAAGAGGGCAAGACTAGCCAAGGTAAGGCACAAATGAAAGGACACACGTTGATGGAGAATCTGCGACGACTTGCTGACTAACGGCAGCAAGAGTGGATTTTTTTCTCTTGGGATGTTATTTGAAGAGTGTATATTTTAAGCACACGTGTGTGTGTGTGTGTGTGTGTGTGTTTCCTATTCATTCTTCCCATCACTCACTCGCTCTACCCTCCCCGTCCAGCCGTTAACCTTGACAGAAAAAGCTTGTCGCTCTCACAGAACCAATAGAGCCAGACAAGTGTGGTCATTCTCCTCTGAGTGAATTGTTTCCTGTTTCCTTTCCGCACAGGAACTCAGGTATTACCGGCGACAGGCCACTGCCTGTTGTAGTTCGAGGAAACGCTGAGGATGCACGCACTCAAACACACTCACACACACACTCACACACTCAAGTACACGCACAGATTTATCAAACCGAGAGTTGAGCCTCCTTTCCTGTCTGACAGCTGATAGTGTGTGTGTGCGTGTGTGTGTGTTTGTATTGTGATGAGCTTCAAGGACGCAAGGTGGATTCAAGGAAACCCACAAAAAATGTCACCACGGCAACATAACAAAAATGTTTTTTCCCGTTACTTTTGCTGTGTGTAGTTATAGGCTTTGCTGTATGACTAATCTGGTTAAAGGAGTGTTAAGTGTCCCCAGACTCCAGGGCTGCAACAGTCTGCGGCTTACAGTTTCATGTTTATTAGGATCATTACAATGAAGGTTGAGGATGAGACGGTGATAAAACAAAGCAAGTATGAGTGAAATGGTGAAATCCTTTGTCCCAGTTGATTTAAAGATAGTCTTCATAAATGTTCGGAGCAGGATGCAGGAAGAACAACAGATTTTGGTCAATATAGCACACACTGGGGGATTTATTCCCTTAATCGACTGCATTTACCATCAACATCCACATCAAAGGTTGGAATTTTCCCTAAAAGGATTATAACTTTAAAATACAAGAACTTTTAAGAGGCCGACTTGCTTACTTGCTGTAAATTTTCCGTTGAGTAACTGAGCTTTCACTCTCACCATGCAGGTCCATGCCTTCATCATCAGCGCACTGAAGAAAGAGATGCCCTCTGTGTTTGGGAAGGAGAACAAGAAGAAAGAACTGATCGGCAGTCTTGGAGATATTTACAAACGCATCGAACGAGAGCATCAGATATCACCCGGAGATTTTCCGAGTCTGAAGAAGATGCAGGTAAACGGGGAAGAGCTGTGTAGATTCATAGATAGAGGGATTAGAAAGATGAGATCTGAATTTGTGATGTTTTTTTTTTCTGTATTGTCTCCTTCAGGACCAACTCAATTCTCAGGATCTCAACAAATTCCAGCCTCTGAAACCCAAACTCCTGGAGGCGGTAGATGACATGCTGGCCCACGACATCGCTGGCCTAATGGTGCTAGTGCGCCAAGAAGAAAACCAGCGTCCCAACCCGGTCGTGAAGGGCGGTGCGTTCGACGGCACATCGGACGGCCCGTTTGGACACGGGTACGGCGAAGGGGCCGGCGAAGGCATCGACGAAGCCGACTGGGTCGTCGCTCGAGACAAACCGGCTTACGACGAGATTTTCTACACGTTGTCCCCCGTCAACGGGAAGGTGACTGGAGCCAACGCCAAGAGGGAGATGGTGAAGTCAAAACTGCCCAACACGGTGCTGGGAAAGGTCTGGAAGCTGGCCGACATCGATAAGGATGGGATGCTTGACGATGAGGAGTTTGCGTTGGCCAATCACCTGATAAAAGTGAAACTGGAGGGACATGAACTGCCATCGGAGCTGCCTGCACACCTGGTTCCTCCTTCCAAGAGGAAAATACCTGAGTAAATGTAAGGTTACATCATCCCCTGCCCCCAAAAGCTGTAAGTAGACTTACCCCAATTAATATAGTCATATTCCTGTAGCATTATAGCAAAAAAATGTACCCCATTTCCAACTGCTAAGAGGCAAATATTACAACAAAATATTCAGTTTCATTCAAATAAAAATAAAGAGTGATATTGCTAATGTACTGTTGGCATGTGGATTGAAATGATACATTTCTTCAGTGCTGAAATAGCTTTTACCACGGAAGAAAATCCTTATGAGTGTCCTTCCATCAAGACAAGTGCCCTCTTTTGTATTTCAGGGTATAGATATTGAGAGCTGTTAGGTAGGACGGATGTTAGGACAACTGATAAGGGTATTAGTAAAGAAAAGCAAATAAAAAAATCTGAAACGAGAAACACTGGAATACAGGAGAATGTAAAGTGATCCAAACTACTGGAAGAAAATGGGAGAGATTCGACAATGTGGAGACAAAAAGAAAGATATATGATTGGAAGGATCATTCTGGGAGAAAGAAGAGTTCCTTTAAGGGTTTCCTGTCAGGTCACTAACCAATGTGTAGAAGCGCGGACACACACACATACACACACACACACACACAAATATGAACACAATTCTGGCTATATGATTTATATCATTTACTGTAGCACCTGGATTAATGGGAAACAAGTGTGGGGAAAAATTAAGAATGACAAGTGGTTTGTCTCTTTTATGATTTATACATTGTTCGAAATATCATTAACATGTTTGGAAATACTGTGACTATAATATGGACCTATACAATGGGGTATTGTTTGGAGTGTTCAGACATCCTCAGCATAAATGTATTGTGCGGACTTTGAATGTGGAATGTGTTGACATTCACCTTCTGTATGTATGCATATGACCACATGTATCAGTGTTATTATTTGTAACGTGTATGTATTAAGTCTTACGCTTCACACAGGCTGCTGAGTTGGGAGTATTCAGTGGGTAGTTAATTGAAAAATGGATGAATTACTTATTATTCACCTTGTGAGAGTGATCTAATCTAACCTAACCTGGCAGTCCAGAGAGTGAAAGCACACCTGTTTGCTTCTTTTGTGATGATAACAAAACACTAATCAAAGCAATTTTTGACTGAAAATGTGGCTTTCCAATTTATGTTTTAAATGTATACATGTAATAAATGTAATTGGATTCACTGTCGTGAAATGCCAGTATGCATGTGTATGTATGTATGTGTGTGTGTGTGTGTGTGTGTGTGTGTGTGTGTGTATATATATACATCACATATACATCACGTAAGGACTTTATTTGTGGTTTGTCACCTGTGAGAATCTTGATAGTAAGATGAAACATCAAACAAACTAAATTTGGGTTCCCACATGATACGAAATGGTGTTTTATGAGCGGGACAGCGTTTACCCAGTTTGAGCTCTACAGAAGTGACTTAACTGAAATCCCCGTGTGCGTCTGTGTGCCGTTGTTGTGAATCTGCTGTACATAATACGACTGTTTGCATTCCATGAACACGGATTGGGAAATCATCCACATCATCTCGGGCGCCGTATGCATCACTTGCTCATATTTCACAGATGAGCCAGATCAGATCCACAGAGTAAATATTAAAAAAAAAAGGATAACTTGTTGGATGTGGATTCTGTGCAAAACAAAGTCCTTTGAAATCCGCAAGTTGTTTTCATACCCTGACAGATTGCAACATGAAGTCCTGTGTGCTGGTAAATACACCAAGGGGAAACACTGGCGTTATGTTTTTCTTTTCTTTTTTTAAGATGGCCATGCATTGCTGAATCTGTACTTCACTGTTTTTCTGTCGACATTAACAACAGTCCAAAAGTGTAATAAAAATTAATTTACTCTACTTTCTTCGCCTTGTTTTGTTTGTGTTAGAGAAATCAGAGTGGTGAGTGGCTATATAGGAGAATATCATATGCTACCAGATGAAGTGCATTTTCTTTAATTCAACTGTGAGGAAATTAAGAACCATTCTGTAAACCATTAAATAGATCTCCAGGATTTTATGTTGAAATTTGTCTTTTCCACTCTAATATGATAGTTTGTCTGAAAAACAAAAATGCTAACTCATTAAGGAGGAAACAACGTTAATATTATATAGTTAATTATTTCAAAATCACACTGGAGGCTTAAACAGTCTGTCTGAAATCATTTTATAATATGCAAGTCATGAGATTCACACTGGACAACTATACTGTCGTCAGTAATGTATGGAGCAATAAGTCCTAACATATGTGAAGAATGGTCTTTTATTCTGCTGTAAAACAAGGGTTGATGACTTATAGACTTTCTTTACACTTTGCTAAAAGAGGAGGATAATCAGACGCAGACTAAACTAAAAACAAGAAACAAAAACTTACCACTAGAGGATAAGAATTTAAACATTATTTTCTTATTTTGGGGGTGTATCAACGAGATGCACTGAAGGGATGAATTACAAAAACATGTGTTAAGCTTCAACTAATAAAAAAAAGGGTGGAGATACTGTTTGGTGCAAAAGGATTAGAAGTGAATTTCTTCACGTTAAGCCTGAAGGGGTTCATCCTCATCTTGGCCTTAGTTTAGGGAGGGTTTCTATCAATGTTACAGTAAGTCAATGAGACATAATTCTGCTTTAACTGCAGTATGAATGTGTGCAATGGTCCTTTAAAGTGTTCTGTTCTGTATTTACATGAGGGCCAGATTTACGTGGTATTATCAAGAGTCACTGACATTGACCATAACATGACACGAGCTAAAAAAAGAATGACAGGAAACATAGCATGAAACATTAGACATTACAGCTATTATCTAGGGACTTCCATATGTGTGTGTGTGTGTGTGTGTGTGTGTGTGTGTGTTTGGCAGGAAATCAGAGCATCCCCTCGGACTGTGAGACCCCTAAAACATATATAAATACACACACAGGGAAGATGTAGCACTCTCTCCTCTCACACAGGAAGTTCTGTTCTTGTCTGCCATTTCCGGTCTGTCCCACCTTCACCCACACACACACACACACACACACACACACCAACACACATCCTCTATCATATACTAAAGTTAATGTTTTTGTTGTAAGGAGATCAGTCTTGCAAGAGTCAACTTCAATTTTCTTATTAATATTATTTTTCTTAAAGTGCACTTGAGGTGAAGAACCCAGAGGAGTTTAGGTTTCTAAAGTAGATATGCATGTTTTAATGACACAAATAGTGAAAAACAGAGCAGTTACTAGTAACAATGGTGAGTGAATATTCAGGAACTGTTGCTCTGGATCATAAAACTAAAAACAGAAAAAGGAAAACTAATTTGTGAATAGGAAAAAGTAATGAAAAAAAAAACAGGAAAGCTATTTAAAGTAGCATTTTAGTCTTTCCTAGAAATTGTGGAGAAATGAGACAAAACCGGAAAGAGACCAGAGAGAAAGACATAGATGGAGAGCGTAGAAAGAGTCAAAAATAGCTGAAACGTGTTTGTGTCTGGTTTGGGTTGGTATCTTATCTCTTCAGGAGGGAACACGGTTAATCTTGAACAGGTTTGTCAATGAAAAAGACGTCTGTCAACAGTGAAATATGAACGTTTATGTGCGTCTGCGTGTTTATCTGGTGGAGACGCACGCACAAGGAAGCTATACATCAGGATTAAACGTATTCACCCAGACACACGAGGGAGCTGGTTTCTGAGAACGCAGGGTGGGGACGATGCTCTCAAAAACACACATGCATCTCCCTGTCATGACTGATTTAAACACAAGCTAACATCATCCTGAGCTTTGTTAGAAACTGCAGAAATCATTGTATAAGTGCACATACACTGTATGTACTAACATATTGTCTCCTTCAGTGCATTTATATTTATTCTAAATGTCACTTAGACTGTTCAGTTGGTTTGTTGGTGACTTCTGCAATGATCCACTACAAAGTGCTCATACCGTACGTACACTAAATCCAGTGCCTGACTTGGACCAACAAAGGTGGCCTAACAGTTGCATGACATGATCATCGCATGTACCTTGGATGTGGAGGAATACCAAAGGCATTTTTCAGCACTATTTTCTCAGCATGAAGCTAGCCGTGTGCTTACACAGAAACACAGTTACGCTGGTATTTAAGGGGTGAGCACTGAGACTCACCAGGAGGTGGCAGAACAGATAATAAGTCAGGGTACTTATGTGGACAATAATCAGAGGGCCAATACTCAGCACTTGTGAGTACCTGCCTTTTCAGGCACCAACTATCTCCCCAGATTTATCCCCGCAAGTTTAGCGACATGATCCCTCACCAGCTTCCCATCACCGGGGGACTGAACCTGGCTCAGACTACTGTAGTTGAGTGCCGTGACACATCCACTTGTGACTCACAAGTCATCGCTGCTTCGAAGTGTGTGCGTGCGAGCTAGAGGGTGGAGTGGTTACAGGGTCGGCCGAGGGGTGACACCCTCCTGTTAATTGCCCCCCCCCCCCCCCCCCCCCCCCCCCCCCCCCCCCCTATCTCCATGGTGACAGAATGTGTGAGAGCAGGGCACGATAACAAAACTAAATCCACATTTATTCATTCACACCCAGCCGACTGTACGGACACTTCAACAAAACTGCTTCTTTTAAGTGACCATCAGGGTTCATTCAAATTATCTCTGAATTTAGTCAAATCATGAAATGAATTAAAAAAGATGAGTACGTTGAAAGTGAAAGATACAAGTATGAATCTAGCTAATATAATCTAAAAATAATTAACAATAAAAGTCGTTTGAGCTCAGTGTAGGTGGTACAAACTATCAAAAATAAAGACAATGACAATGACCTGGTGTCGGGTCAGCTGTCTCTGCCGTGTTTGTATCCTGTGACTGAAACAACTTGTGTGTTAAAATGTCTATTTTAAAAGTATCCCCAAGTTTTGGTGGCCGTTCCTTGAACCTCTTCCAGGACAGAGTCCATGGAAGAGGTCAACATCCTGTTAAAAACATGCATCCACTCATGATGCATTAGTTCATTTTTGGGGGATGCTACGACGTATGCGCATCTCAAGTTGTTCATTTTGCAGAGAATCTCTCGTGGCTTTTGCTTGCCAAACAAATCCGACCTTTGACTCTTAAAATAACAAGCATCGCTGTTCGGAAACCAGGAACCATTTTCATAAATATGTCACCTTTTGACCGAGAGTAAATTGAACCCAAGTGTTAACACTGTTACGACGTTACTTCCTACTCTTTTGGGTGGACAAATAAAGTTCATGGTCGTGTTAAATTAAGAACGTCTTCCATAAAGTTTAAATCTTCAAAACAACGCTAGCATCTCATCATACGCTGCTGTCACTTCTGATTGTTTAGCCTCCTATTGTTGTGTTGTGTATGGACAACACAACAATATTTCACATTATTGTACACAGTACGACAAAACAACACATCACACTATTGAGATATTTAATGCATTATAGTCTCTATTTCTGAGAGACCTGGAAGTTAACCTTCTTCTTTGTCAAAACAAGACAAAACTTCAGCTTTTATACCATTTATTTATATTTCTCGACACTATCATAAGTCCTGTGAGAGTTACTGCACTCATCATATTTATTAATGTCCATCCATTTCTGCAATGTACCTTCCTCTGAAGTCAGTCATTTAATGCATACATGAAAAGTATTTTTGACCTCCCTTTTCTTCAGTTCATGCCAAATTTGGTGACTTCCCTGTATTAAGTGCGCCTGTCTGTCTGCGTGTGCATGCGTGTGAGTGGAAGTGCGTGTGCTCGACATGCAGGAACAGTTTCCTGAGTTTTTAATCATTGTTATGCAAGAGATGTCCGAATGAGGAATTCTCGGATACGTTATCATTAAGGAACATTATGTAGTTGTTTTTTTTAAGAGAGAGCAGGCACCAGACTGACTCAGCTGAAGACGACGTATCTATTCAGGCAAGGAAGTAAACCATTCATCAATATTATTCTTAATGATTAATATGAGAGCAGTGAGTTCAAGGAATTGAGTACATCCTAAACATCTATATTCTAATTTGACTTGAAGGGGAACTTACCGATTTTACACATCAAGTTCAGATTTCACATTTTTAACAGACAGCCTTTGGATCAAAAATATTGATGTTTACCAGGCAAGGAGGGTCTGATAAAAGACGCTATCAAGTTGCATCATGGGAAGTGTAGTATCCAGTGTTTTTGGAGCTTGAGTCTTACTAGGGTCTAAAAAGTTAGAACATGTTATCCTCTGATGCTTCCATTTGGACCATTCTTGTTTCAATTAGTCTCTTGTGAGTTCCCCAACCTAACATACCACACTTAAGTGCAATACTGTATGGCTGGAATACTCCTTTGAGTGGATTTTCATGCAGTACTGCACTAAAGTGCATCTAATTTCAAAGATCCCTACAGTTGTTGCAGTTATGGAACAATTAGTTTTTACAGCAGTCGAGAAAGTGTTTTCCACTTTATTGCAGAGGAATGCGTTGATGGGAAATTTTAATATCACTTTTTTGTGTCAGTTACTATCAGTGTTTCATTCTTAGATATAGATTAGACGCTAGGTCACTTCCCACCATCGAATCCCCGCTCCACTTGTGGTTTAATTCTGCATTTTTCAAGACTTTTTCAGCCTGGACACTTTGTGCTTTAATTGTCCAATTTTGCTTTGTTGTGCTTAAGGGCTGAGCATTTTCTGCAGGCAGGTAGTTGTCCTGGAGAGCCGGCTGACTGAAAACGCAGGGAATACTGAATCACTTGATGAATGAGCGTCTGTTATCTGAACTGGTCAAGAGCCATGTATGAGGAGAGGATGTGCAGCGAGGTAGTTATTGTTAGCTAAACATTTTCCTCCTTATTAACAGGATGTATTCCCAGAAAAAAGACATACACAAAGCTGA